AACGTTTAAAAATAATAAACAAACTTACATCTATATCCTCGATAAGAAACTCTTACATTGTGAAGGGGTGAGCGGCGGAGGAGCACCAGCAAGCTGTGTGAACGATTTCAGTGGGTTTGCGCTGACCGAGCTACCACGAAGAGTCCTGTAACCATCACTAATGGGCAGCTGAGGCGGTGGGGCAATTGGTGGCCCTTGATGAGGGAGTTGAGGAGGTGGAGGTGTTGGTGTGTGAAGAGCCTGAGAAGAACTGTACGCTGAACCATGGTCCGAAAAATCGATTTTCGCTGCCTGTAAGAGTCAAAACTTTGCAAAAGTAACAGTTTACCTAAAGTAACAGTTCATGAAAACAGACTTTATGTCAGGGAGATAACACGCATTTAGGGTTACTTGAATGAAATAAGAAAACATCAGAAAACTTTTAGTAAACGAGTGGTCAATGCTAAGCCTACCAATCCAAGAGAACCATGCTTGCTCCCTCTCAATAGTGGCTTTAATTATTCTCACCGCTCTACTTATTTTGCATTTAAAAAAAGAACAAACTTATCAGCTTCGCAAAACTGTTTTTACCTTTTAACTCCAGTGGAAGGTATATGTCTTGCTTGAGAAAGAGGTAACAGAACTGAATGGGAATAAACATGAAAATACCTGATGCCTGCCAGCTGTAGTGTACACCACCTGAGGTGTCCTTTGCCGCCCTTCAAGGCTAACTGATGACTGATGATAACTGCGAGACAGAGTTCCATTACCTGAAGCTTGCACATCGTAATAAAGGAAGACAAGAAAGCGGGGGCTGAATGTGATGGGTGCTGTGAGGAATTGTTACTAGTGCTCGGTCTTTCGAGGAACAACTTGGCACTTGAGGCACAGCTACCGGCAATAGGATCAAGCTTGAGACAATTCAACAGCTCCACACGAACACACTATACTTACAGGCATCACTGCTCGACGGTACAACAGCATAAGCCGGGACCAAGTCCGAATTTGCTGCTCGCTGCGCTCGGCCATCATGAGCGGACTGAGTCATTTGCGGTGCAATGTAGTTGTCCGAGCCGGCAAAATGTGTCGAAGAAATGCGATGTGCAACAGCAGCCGGCATCATCGGATGACCCATCGTCAAATCTGCACAGTACACAGTATGCAATATTAAATGCCACAAACACTGAACAGTCATGCAACATGCGCCACATAAACACAGCAGCGAGCGACAGCTCGCAAAACATAGAGCAAGACAAAACAAACAGTGCAATTATTGCAAACAAAAAGTGACGATCTCAAAAAAAAAAAAACATACTGAATGCTCAGTCTCTGTAGCATGCTTTGAAAAATAAAAAAA